CCATCATTCTGTCCAAAACAGTGCAACAGTTTACACAAAAACATGTCCAAAACCAAAGCTTTCCTTATTTTACTAGCAGACTTAAGATGTCTTTGTGCACTCTGAGAATATAATGTTATAAAAAAAACATATTTTATAAGTTGTCAAACTCTTGGAACTTCATTTAATGAGAAATATGTATCTCTTTGATGTTTACATCTGGTATAACTCCAATAAGAAATTACAAGCAAATCACATCAGCCTTCATCAGGAAGATTAAGTATAAACTTCAACACACAACAAATCACAAACTGTAGATAAAAACAGACAGAGATGGTGGGATATCCCTTGTTTTGTTAGTTTTGAACTTGAGACAAGATTTGTTCATAACCATGTGGGGTTTCTTGGAGCCAGCAGAGTCTAAATTTGGACAAGACTATTGAGAAGCAAATGCATGTTTCATGTATGTGTTTTTTTAATACACGGTCATTTTCAAAATGAGCAACAGCACCTGAAATTGTGAAATTGCTAATGAGACACAATCTTCTGAGGGAATAGAGCTTTACACCATGTGTGTCAAACTCAAGCCAAATGTGGCCCGCCATAGCATTTTATGTGGCCAGTGAGAGTTTCAAAGATGTATTAATGTCTTAAAATAAGCGTATTCTGCTTTAAAGCCCGCATTGATCATAAACTACATCTCCCATAATGTTTATTGATTAGTCTGTTGCACATGTAGTACTTTTCATTCTTTGTAAGGATGTGGTAAAACACTGTTTCTATGCAGGAAATACCACGTAGAGCTCAGTTATTGTTTGTTAGCGGTGTTCAGCCGTAGCAATGAGACGAGGAACGTGACGTTTCGTGTTCAGTCGAAGTTAAACACGAAACGTTCAGCTGACCCTTTGAGGGCCACCATGATGTTCATGTGGCCCTCAGTGAAAATGAGTTGGAAACCTCAGCTTTACACCAACTACAGTCAGCTTCTAGCAAATGAGAATGTTTTCATTAGAGTGCTATAATTTAAGTTTTATGAGTATCTTTGTAAAATATACCCACCTGTAAAAAGAACCCAACCTATAAAGTATTTTTTTCTGTGTGTGTGTGTATAGCTTTCTTGAGGTCTATTTGCTGACTCCATAAACGTCCCTGTGTAAAGTGTGCTCTACTTTTTATTAAAATATTACATAACTCTAAACATATCATTGAGTCAGAGTCATACTTAGATTAAAGTTACAGGCATTTTTCCTATAAACAATGTAAAAAAAAAAACCCTGGTCGACAGTCAAATGTGGGCGATAGAGTTTTAGTGATGGAGTTACTTTTACCCAATTACTAAATATTACAAAACAGTAGAAGTTGAATGAATGAATGAATGAATGAATGAATGAATGAATGAATGAATGAATGAATGAATGAATGAATGAATGAATGAATGAATGAATGAATGAATGAATGAATGAATGAATGAATGAATGAATGAATGAATGAATGAATTTGGTCACATAAAAGAACACGTCACACAAAAGCAATCAAAACTTTAACCCTATATGACCAAAAAGGTAGAGGCAGAAGCAACGGCTTGCTCTGCCTCACCTTACAAATCCTAAAGTTGATAGAGACCGTAATAAAAACTGCGTAATGACAGCACATTACTGGAAATAAAAAGAAACTTCACACAGACTTCCTCACAACTTTCACTCAAACTGTATCACACAGTGTTATTTAAAAAAAAGACACTTTATTTACAGACCAGTACGCACCTTTGTATCACGTAGTTGTCTCCATCTCCACCAAACTGCTGCCGCTGAACTAACGTTGCCCACACACACGCAGGATCTCTTCTCATCATCCTCTCTGTAACTCCCAGCGTTACAAGATGATGCAGTGGTTAGTAAGGAGGAGTGCCTGGGGATGTCTGCATGTGAGGACGACAGGTTAAGGAGAAATGATCGTTTTTGGACTTTGAGTCAAACGGGTTCTTCTGTGTTTCATCTCCCAACAAGATGAAGTCCTGACTTGTCAAACAGAGGAGAGGGGGGTCCTCAGTGGTTATTGCTATGACAACATGCATCTGCTTATTGCTGAACTCCAGGAGACTCGTGCATTTGCAGCCCTGCTGGCATCCAGCTGCTCAGCGTTTCACTCTTGCGCCCACACATCTCAAATTAACACGCATGAACAAAAAGCAAAGGAAAAATTGGCTCAGGCATAATCACATTCACACTTAAAGCAAATGGTAGTGAGCTACAATGAGAACAGACTTCTTTGTTGGAAGGATTTGCACTGAAAGAAAAATGGCGATATTCTGAAAAATGTACTTAAAAGTCTTGCGTACTTGAGACAAATGTTCATTTGTTGCACATTTGTACAAGAAACAGCGCTCAAATGAAAAAATGCACTTGGTTTTCTCATTTCTAATTTTTTCTTCTTAAAAGGCCGTGTCTCCAGGCCGTGTCTCCTTTAGCCAAAACGATGATGTGAATAATTTTATTTTATGAATAAAATCACATCATACGACTCGAATCTTAAGAATAAGTTGAATATATAGAGAATTTGATTCATTACAGGGGTGTCAAACTCATTTTCACCAAGGACCACATGAGTGTTATCGTGTTCCTCATAGGGCCAGTTGTAATTAATTTTGATGTATCATATTTAACTTTGATTAAACACAAAATTTCACGTTCCTTGTCCCATTGCTATGACAGCACTGCTAACAAACAATAACTGAGGATTTGTAATTTTACCAATTATTTTTTAAATAGCTACTACTTTTATTTTGTAATATTTTAAAGCTAAAAAGGATACTTTTACTTCTTTACTTTAAAATTTAACACCTAGCTACTTGTTACAAAATTAAATATGTTCAAACTCATCATGAAATATGTTTTTGCACATTAAAAACGAAGTGTTGAATTTACTCAACAAAGTCATGTCAGCTGGCTCCACTAAGTCTTGTTGAGTAAATTGAGCAGAGATTATACATATATTGCTCAGTTTACTCAACCTGGCTTAGTTTCTATAATTGAACAGTTTATTTCTTAGAAAGTGTGTAAAAGTACTTTTACTTTCCCAATTTTTGTGAACAGTTTTATGATTTTATAGTTTTCTCAACAGTGAAATTTATTTTTACCAAAGTCATTTTCTGTTCATGTAATCTTACTTTTACTTTGTTATTTTTTCCAAGTACTTAATAAAGTACTCTGATAAAGTCTTAATCTGCTCTGCTGTTGATTAAAGCAAAAACTAATAAGAGGCCTCACCTCACTTCCCAACACTGAAGCTCTGAGCTTCCAGTCCAGTTTATACTGTAAAAAATAAAATGTTGGATTTACTTAATCTTGTTATGTCAACTGGTTGCACTTAACTGAGGTGAGCAAATTCAAAGCAATATACCAGTTTTTTAACCAAAGAACATGAATAAGTTGCTTTGAATTTACTCAGCTCAGTTAAGTGGAACCAGTTGACATAACATGGTTAAGTAAATCCAACATTTCATTTTTAGAGTGATAGGAACAGCATGTTAGAGAAAACTTGCATCACCATTGAAACAATTACCCTGCCATAATGTGGGAGGCATGGATCACATATGTACCGCCCTTAGCTGGAGTAATTAATTATTCACCCCTTTGCAAGAAGAATTTTTCATTCTTGGTGCATTAAACAAAATCACTCAAAACACAGATATTATGGATTTAGTTATTTAATTGCCTTTAAGTAAATGTAAAGTTAACATAAAGTAAATGTGTTACCTTAACTCAATTCAGTTAAGTAGAACCAGCTGACATTTTTTTTCAATTAAATCCATCACATCTACAGTATTTTTGAGTGATCCTTCCATCTGTTGTGGTTTAAAAAACGTTTAAATTAATTCAAACTAATTGTCTTTATCAGTTCTGATTGAATTACTGCTGTAACGAAGCTGGACGCTCATCACTCCCGTTTATAAGCTGACCATTCGTTGCCTAGCGACATGTTGTTGTGGCATTAGTGACAGCAGAGGCAGATTGTGAGTCTGGAGCACGGGCTGCCATGTTTGTGCAACCGCATTATTGTCTTACAGTGTGATGTAAGAGTGCGATGCGCAGAGATGTGGACTGGAGCGTGCTTCCTTTTATCCCACACACACACACACACACACACACACGGTTTATTCATCAATTATTTCTCAGAGAGGATTTCAGCTCAGCGTTGCCCTAAACAACCCTCTGCTGTGATGCGACAGGTGTTTATTTTAAGACTTTAAACATTACCAACACAATTATCATCACAAAACCAACTGACTTTTTCAGAACAGTGATAAACAGTCATTTTAAGTGAAACAAAACAATTAAAACCAGCATTGATGAAGCTTTTATTTTGACTGACGTCCTCTCAGATATACTGCATGTGTAAAATTGTGTTATTTTATCACACAGCTTCATTTAATGTCTGAACTTTAAATAGCTCACGATTGGTTCTTCAGAAGAAGAAAGCTCTCTTGGCAAATGCAGAAAGGTCAGGAAATTGATTCTTTGCTTTAAAATGTCAGCTGTTCATTTCAGAACTGGCTACATGAAGCTATTTGAAGGGTCTGTGGGATCAAAATGGGTTCTTATTTAGGTTAGGTGATTATTTTTCTTAATTAAAAGTATAGGTTTTGTATTCAGCCTCTTTACAACATATTGTTACAATCTAATGGTGGTTTATTGAGCTTAGCTGAAATCTTGAAATATTTTAGAGCTTGGAATATGAAGTCTCTCTAAGGAATACTTTCATTTCGGTGATCTGAGGGGGAAAACAGTTGACTTTTATGATTTTTGGGATGGCCCAACAAAAAATATGTTTAAGAAAATACATAAACAAATTTGAAATAGTTTAACGTCTAATTTCAATCATTTGACTTAAAGAATAAAATATTTTTAGACAGATTATGCCTTTTAACATTCATTAGCATCTCATTAGCTC